TCATGTCCCTTAGGAAAGAGTACTAAATTACCTTTCAGTTCTTCCAAGTCTGTCTCTCAATTCCCTTTACAATTGTTGCATTCTGATGTTTGGTGTTCTCCAGTAAATTCAGTTGATGGTTTTCGTTATTATGTGTTATTCGTGGATGATTATTCTAGATATTCTTGGGTTTTTCCAATGAAAAGAAAATCTGAAGTTTTTGAAATTTTTGTGAGATTTAAAGCACAGGTCGAAAATATGTTCAATACTTCCATCAAAACCCTTCAATGTGATGAAGGTGGGGAATATAAAAGTCACGTTTTTCAAAATTATCTTGCATCTCACGGCATTTCACAACGATTTTCGTGTCCAAAACATCCTGAACAAAATGGTATTGCCGAACGAAAACATCGTCACATTGTTGAGTCTAGTATTGTCATGCTTTCTCATGCCCATATTCCAAATAAATATTGGGTGGATGCTTGTTTAACAGCCACTTATTTAATTAATAGATTGCCAAGTCGTGCCTTGTCTCATAAATTGCCGTATGAAAAATTGTTTGCCAAAGTTCCCAAATATGAAACTCTCAAAGTGTTTGGCTGTCTTTGTTTTCCTTGGTTAGTCCCTTATACACAACATAAACTCCAACCAAAGTCAAAATCATGTGTGTTTTTAGGTTACTCACTGAATCATCAAGGGTATAAATGCTTAGACTTGTCCACGAGACGAATCTATTTGTCTCGCCATGTCCTATTCGATGAGGACACTTTTCCATTCAAGGAACTCACATCTTCCCTGGACAGCGTTGGAACCACAGGTAATAATACTTCCCCTGACTTGTTATTTACTTTTCCTGTTTTATCTCCATCCCCCCAGGCCAACCCATTGTCTCCTAGCCCGCCTTTACAGTCCCTTCATCAACCAAACACCATAGCATCTGATATTCCTAATCCTACTAACCTGCTCTCCACTCCTGCCTTACTTGATCCTCTAGCCACGGCAAACCCAATGCCTTTACAAATCTCTAGGCCTACCATTTCATCTTCACATGAGCAAGAGGCAGTACCAGTTCCTGAACTGAACCAATCCGTGCCAACTGATACTCACGGTGCTCCGTCTTCCAATCAACAGTCAATCCAACCTCCAAGAATGACTACTCGTTCACAATCTGGCATTCACAAACGTAATCCTAAATATGCATTGCATGTTAATATTGATCATTCTCTCGTTGAACCAACCTGTTATAGTCAGGCCTTCAAGCACCATGAGTGGAGGAATGCCATGGTTCACGAGTTCAACGCATTACAGCGTTGTGGTACCTGGAAACTTGTTCCGTATCATCCACAAATGAATTTGTTGCCTAACAAGTGGGTTTTCAAGCTTAAACAGCGTGCGGATGGCTCAATAGAAAGGTATAAGGCGAGGCTTGTTGCCAACGGATTTCATCAGAAGCCTGGCATTGATTATACAGAAACCTTTAGTCCTGTGGTGAAGCACAGCACCATACGACTTGTTCTTAGTCTTGCGGTTTCCAAACGGTGGCCTATTAGACAATTGGATGTACAGAATGCATTTTTGCATGGATTTTTGAACGAAGATGTGTATATGAGACAACCTGCTGGTTTTGTTGATCAGCAATATCCTAATTATGTTTGCAAACTGCAACGGAGTATCTATGGCTTGAAACAAGCTCCTCGTGCTTGGTTTCATCGGTTCTCAGAATTTTTGCTTCAATTGGGATTTGAAGCGTCCACTTGTGATTATAGTTTGTTTGTTTACAATCACAGAGGTATTTACTTAATTCTGTTGATATATGTGGACGATATTTTGTTGACAGGAAATAGCTCACGACAAATGGGTTGCTTAATCAAAAAACTGGGAACTTTATTTTCCATGAAGGATTTGGGTCCACTACATTATTTTCTAGGAGTTGAAGTACAATATATGAATGACCAGATGCATTTGAATCAAGCTAAGTATGCCTTGGACTTGTTGAAGCGTACCAACTTTTTGGATGCCAAACCAATTTCAACTCCAGTTCCTTGCGGCCAGAAATTGAGTGCTTATGATGGTGAGCCACATGACAGTCCAGACTTGTATCGGAGTGTAGTTGGCGCGCTACAGTATCTAACCATCACCAGACCCGATCTTTCTTATGTTGTGAACCAGGTCTGTCAGTTCATGCACTCTCCAACAACTACGCATTGGACGGCAGTCAAGAGGATACTTCGCTATGTTAAAGCCACGTACAATCATGGTCTTCTGTACAAACCTGGTCATTCACATCTCACGGCCTTCTCCAATGCTGACTACGCTGGGAATCCTGACACTCGGCATTACCATCGTGGTTTTTGCATTTTACTCGTGTTCAAGTTCCGAAGAGTATCGGTAGCTGGCTTACACAGCTGCGGAACTGTCATGGCTAAAGTCTCTTTTCCGTGACTTAAAGTTACATCTTGTTTGTCCGACCATTTGGTGCGACAATATCTTGTCCATTGCCCTAGCTTCGAATCCAGTTTTTCATTCGCGCACGAAGCATTTGGAAGTTGATTACCATTATGTTCGTGAAAAGGTGGTTCGTGGTCAGTTAATGGTCAATTATATTTGTTCTCAAGATCAGATTGCTGATTTGTTCACTAAAGGCCTGTCTTCTTTGCGTTTCCAATTTCTAGTTTCCAAGCTTTCAGTCGCTTCCCCCCCTGTCAGCTTGCGGGGGGATGTTAGACCAAGTCCTACTCTGCCTACGGTTTCAAGAGTTTGTGATCAAGTCCACTTGTTATCCACCAAGAGTTAGTTTTGGTTAAGACTCTTTTAAATATTTCATTCCGTGTAAATCTTAGTGTGCTGTTTCTGTTGTATTGTTTGAATTTCAAGTAGCCTTGTAAATAGGGATTTCAGTTCCCTGATGTAATCTTGAATGAAGTATAAATACATGCAGCCCTTACTGATTGGGTAATGCAATTCAGATCACACATCTTTTTCTAAGTTTTACAATAGTGTAGGTTACATTGCACACATTGTGTGGCTGATAGACTTGTTTAAGTTTGCTTTAGGTAGTGTGTCTATAGACATTTAGTTTGAAGAGGATCCTTCATGGCTCAATGTGTTTCTTCAAGCTGACTATGATATTATGGAGTTGTCATGAGTTTTTGTTTGTTGTCTTTATGGAGCGTTTTTTCTTCGTCCCAAGTTTTGTTTCACTGGATTTTCCTGGGCAAGGTTTTAATAAAGCCACGTTTGTTCGCTCGAATATATAACCTTTCACAATTTTAATGCAAATTTACTACTTCCTCTAAAACTAAAAATGAAAATATCTGTCTCGAATTCATGATTTACTTGATTTCAAGTAATTAAAAATATGCGTTATTTTTAGTACATCAAGGTTTATGAGAGAGCTTTTATTTATTTTTTTCTTTATAATATAAGCGATAATCTAAATTATAAAGGAGTAAGACTTCTTACACATCCACACAACTATGATGCCATGAGAATTTGAACATGAGACTTATGGTTTGCAAATTTCCACTAGGCTAGACGCCATTTGCTATGTTGAGGGTTCAATATAGCCATCTAATGTTGAGGAGTTCATTGATCGAAAAGCTATTGTTGACCCCTCATTATAACCCAGGTCCTCGATAGCCGCTCAACATAGGCTAGCCTTACTGGGATTCTGATATTTTGGGCTTCCCATTGGCCCAAACCAACCCAATTTACTCTAAAATATTAGGCCCTAATAGAGTTACACATGGGCCATTGTTTTCAGATCCAAAATTGTCTGCGTCAACCAAACTAACCACCAAATCTCATCACCTTCTTCCTCATCCTCGAACCGTCTGAATCTCTCCGTATCGCTCATCACATTATCGCAAAACCCACATTGGACGAGAGATGCAGACCCGGTTCACAACCCTAGTTGGTCGAACCCTAATATCGACCACGCGGTCCTTCTCGTCGTCCACCCAAACCCCACCCTCGACCACCACAACCTCCTCTCAATTCCCACAGACTCTGGCGGGCCTGCGGGCCCCCCCCCCCCCCTCGTGGAAGGCGAAGGCCCATACTCCGTCGAAGTTGGAACCAAGAAGAACCCTCTCCCCAAGCCAAAATGGATGAAGGAGTCAATTCCCGGCGGCCAAAAGTACACTCAGATCAAGAAGAAGCTCAGAGAATTGAAGCTCCACACGGTGTGCGAGGAGGCCAAGTGTCCCAACCTCGGTGAGTGCTGGTCCGGCGGCGAGACCGGCACCGCCACCGCTACGATCATGATTCTCGGTGACACGTGCACCCGCGGTTGCAGGCAAGTTGTTCGATGAAATGCGCTTGAGAGCTAGTCGCTGTGCTTTTTTGGTTTTTGTTTTGATGGGAGTTTTTGGTTGTGTGTTAAAATTTGTAGATTTTGTAATGTGAAGACTTCGAAGACTCCACCTCCTCCTGACCCCAATGAACCGTCGAATGTGGCGGAGGCAATCGCGTCATGGGGTTTGGATTATGTGGTGATTACTAGCGTGGACCGGGACGATTTGCCTGATCAAGGGAGTGGGCATTTTGCGGAGACCGTGCAAAAGTTGAAGACGCTGAAACCCAGTATGCTAATTGAGGCTTTGGGTATGATTTTTATCTTTTATTTTATTTTTTTTGGATTATGAACTTGTGTTAATAATAGTGTTTAAATTAGGATGATAGAAATCAACTCAGTATAGAATTCAGAACATTATGTTGAGTGGACTAAAGATTGCGTTTTGTATGTATAAATGAATGGTTAAGAGATTATAGCTAACGGATGTTAAACCTGGAAATTATGTGATTGCAGTTCTTTTATGTCTAGACTTTTCCGTTGTTTGTTTTCCATATGCGATGTTGATTTGCCATGTTGTCTTGTAGTTCCTGATTTTCGGGGAGACTCCAGCTGCGTAGAGAAAGTTGCAACATCAGGATTAGATGTTCTTGCTCACAATATTGAGACAGTTGAAGAGCTTCAGAGGGCAGTGCGGGATCATCGTGCCAATTTTAAACAATCTTTAGATGTTCTAATGATGGCCAAAGATTATGCTCCTGCTGGAACGCTAACAAAGACTTCAGTAATGTTAGGTTGTGGGGAAACACCTGATCAAGTTGTGAGGACAATGGAGAAGGTGAGAGCAGCAGGTGTTGATGTGATGACATTTGGTCAATACATGCGTCCTTCGAAGCGCCATATGCCTGTATCTGAATACATTACTCCTGAAGCTTTTGAGAAGTATCGAGCTCTTGGCATGGAAATGGTATGCTTTTATCATTTTAACTAAGCTGGCTATGCTATTTGATGTTTCTTTGCAAAACAGGTTTTCTCATTTTCTCTTGTAGTTTGGAAGAAAAAAAAATGTTTGAGCACTGGTATAATTAGTTGCTCTCTCATGTCATGCTTGAGCACAACTTATAAACAAATGATCTTCTGGCCACCTCACATATAAATTTGGTTACAAGCACGTTAGGCAGCTTTGGTTGCTCCCAGTTCCTATACCTGGAAACCAGATCAGGGATCAGGCAAGGTAACAGCTGTATCGAGCCTGGTTTACTCTGGATGTGGTAACATCGTGTTATGAATATATTGACAACTACACAACTGAGTGTCGTGAATATATGAATTGATACAATACCATCTCATTCTATGAAGCAAGCATATGATCACATGATCGTCTGTATCTATACCAGTTCAATCAACGGTTTATTTTGAATGTAACAGGGATTTCGATATGTGGCTTCTGGTCCCATGGTCAGGTCGTCATACAAAGCCGGTGAATTCTACATCAAGTCTATGATAGAATCAGATCGGGCCACTTCTTCGCATCTTTCTGTCTCATGATAGGCGGGTTTGTTTCCTACCTTGTTCTCTTTCGACAAAGCGTCGGTCTGTATTCTTTTCCATCGGCGTACTCTGTGTATTGTACAAGTGATGATTATAGAGCGCCCAAGCATACATGGTCTTGTTATGATATCTTCCAGTTGTATGCTCAATTCATTGTAATTATCAGACACCACTCTGCTCCGCTGCTCTATTGAGGTCTTATATCACTGTGATTGCTGCTGTTAATCAGCTTATTAATAGAAAGAATAATTGATTATTCTTCAATGCCACATCCATTATACATGCTGCTCCTCCTTTTTATTTTGATTCTCGTTCGGCACTAAACACACACGGAGCGACTGATGTGGATGGCAAGAAGCTGCCTTGCAATACAATCCTTTTACACAGTGTAGTTAATAATATATGCTTGCTTATGAGTCCCACATGTTTGGGTCTACTTGATGGCAATGGCTTTATAGCATATGCCAAAATCATTCGTCTTGTCGCAAAAGTTTACTTGAAAACCATCTCTCTTCTTTTATGTTGTAGCTTGCAATGATCCTAGGAAGGTTCGCCAGACTGGTTGCGGGTCCTCCTCCCTCGGTCAGGCCTGAACCACCTACCTACTAGTTAGTAGTAGGACTTAGTACTGGACCTACTAGAGTCTTCTTCACGCCCATATGTTATCCTTTCGTTTTATATTGAAGATCAGCGACTCTAGCATCTGGGGACCATATTTGATATGTTGGTGGCGCATGGGCATCTTTTGCTTTTGTCATTGTTTTTCTAAATTTTTGCCCGTACGAAACCTTTGTGTTTTCTATCTATCTATGCCTTCTCCTAAAAAGTTTTTGTTGCTCCGTTTGGGGTTCCCTTTTCAAGTCTTTGAGAAACCATAATCATTCATTGAGCGTGCTGTGGTGAGAGAGAGGTGAATATACCGTACACAAATATATATATATATGTATATGTATATGTCACGTCAGCATTACCTGCAATGCAATGAGGCTTTTGCTGCATAAAGCTTTGCAACTGAAGAGTGAAGAGGGCCTCATCCTCATCAGAACGCCCAAACCAATCAATCCATCATCAATATCTCTGCCCTAAAGCTCTTGGCTGTTTGGAGATAGTCTTTTAGCCTAAAGGTTAAAACCTCTGTCTCTGCGCCAGTCACTCTCTCTCTCCCCTCCCATTTATGACCGTTAAATTTTAAATCTTTCTTTCCCACCCAACCCTCCCTCACTTACTCACTAGCTAGCCACTACCAACTTCCACTAAAGCGCTCTGAAAATAATCCCTGCTTTCACAAACCATAAAAACTCATAAATGGGTTGTTGTCTCGGCACCACCAAGACCCCAAACCAACACCCTCACCACCACCCAAATGGCCCCAACAACCGCCACTTCCACGCTAGATCTTCGGTGACGGAACCCGACCCGACCCATATCCAGAAAACCCAACTCAGAGCCTCGACGCCGCCACCGCCTCCACATCCTCCACCGGTTGTTGAAGAAGAGTCAGTGAAGGAGGTTCTCTCCGAAACCCCCATCTCCAAACCCCAAATCCCCAAAATATCCCAAGACCAAATCACCCATCTGCCTCCGAAATTCCAAGAAGAGCTTCCCGATTTTCCTCCGCAACCCCAAGCAGAACCCATCCATTTTCCTCCGAATCCCCAGGCAGAGCTCACCCATTTTCCTCCGAATCTCCAGGCAGAGCCCACCCATGTTCCTCCGAAACTCCAAGCAGAGCAGCCCAAGGAGCTCTCTGAGGAGCCTTCTCAGGCTTCAGACCTTTGTGGGGTTAGCGAGAGCTTCTCATTGTCAACAACCACCACCACAACCACCATTACAGACGCCAGAGAAGACGAAGCTACGAGCAAGCGGAAGAGAGACGTGGGAAACAGAGACAGGGCGAGTGGGCCTTCTTCAACGACGGCACGCTGCAAGCGTCCTTACTCCGGCGAACTCGCCGGCCGGAGAGAAAAAGGAGTCAAGCTCCCTGCGAGGGCGCCGGAACCTCCAATGGGGAAGAGGAATCGGACTGAAACGAGGTCGTCTCGCGGGCGGGAATCGGGTCAGCTGAGGACCATGCAGCGTGGCGCGGGTCCCACCGGGGTCAGGCGTGATGCGGTGTCGTCCCGGTCGAGGTCACCAGCTACTCGGACGGCCGGTGGCGCTGGTCGGGCAGCTGTAGGAAGGAGCCCGGCGAAGGTGACTGGACGAGCCGCTGCCTGTGGCAGTTCATCGCAGCAGGGAGCAGTGGAGAGTGAGGGTAAACAAATTAAAAAGGAGGCGGAACCATCAAACGACGGCGTTTCGCAACCCCAGAAGCAGGGGAATGAGTCCCTCGAGTTAGAATGCTTCATCTTTGTCTAAGTCCGCTTTTTTAGGTTACTGGTTGCATTTTGTGCGAAATGTTTTTCTTGGCTTTTCTTGAAAGCATTGTGGAATTGAGCTGTTTTGCTGCATAAACATTTGCTGATAAGATAGATTAGAGCAGCTTAAAATAGCAAAAGGGAAGTGCTTTTGAAAAAATGGGAAATTTTTTTTGCTTCAAAAAACAATGTATATATATTCTCTGGATATGGCATCATCAGGATTGGGTTGTGTCTTTATCTTTGTGTGAATTAGTGTTGAGCATCCTTGTTTTTGGGACTTTGTCTTGTGATTAATTGTGAATTAAAACCCAATAATCTTTCTTTGTTGTGTGTTGGATTGCAGCAGCAGCAGCAGGAGCTGACTTGCTGAGTTGTGGCTGCAAAACAATGTTCTTCTCCTTTCTTTCTTACTTTATTTTTTCAAAATATTTTGTTCAAAAAGTTGAGATTTGCAAATCGTCTAGGGATATGTACTGGACTGGAAATGGTCCTCCTCCTCGAATTGGCGGTATCTTCTCTTGGAATGGAATGGGATGGGCGGTGGGAAAGACAGAGACTTTTTAGTTCTTTCCCTTTCATTGGTTTTGGTGTAACTTTTTTGGTTTTGGTCTTGGTTTTGCATACAAATAATACAAAGGCTTTCTAGTGTCCCCCGGAATTTGTTTCTGCTTGTACGGTCTGTACTCAGGAACATTTGGTGATTTGGTAGGAAATTTCCTCTTTTTTGTTTGGTAAATGTAAATCAACGTAGTCTTTCCCATCTCTCTTTTGTAACTTTAAAAGTTGAGAGGCGTAGATTAGACTAGTTGATTAGGACAGTAAGCTCGCCTTTGCATCTATTAGGACAGTAAGCTCGCCTTTGCATCTAAGTTTGAATTCCTCTTTCTGTAGATTATATTAATTTTTGATAATTTAGACTATTTTTTGTATTTAAATAAAGAATAAAAGACTTCAATTGTATAGGTTTAGTGGTAATCTTTTCTGGGTTTTTAGCCAACTCTCTAACATTTCTTTTGGGCTTTAGAAGATGAAAAACCAAGCAAGCTCGTTTGAGTGAGTCATTTTATAGTGAGAGCCTTATATGTGACACTTAGGTAAGGTCCTTTAGACAATATGGCTGGATTGGCAGGACCAATTTGTGGATGGTTATTTGATTTTCATCCACCGCAGGCTAACAAAGCCACAAACTTAAGTTACATAGAATTGAAATGAGCTACCAAGAAAACATATACATAAGTGGAATTTACATATCCTTGTGCTGATGATGAGTCTTTCTGGTTACTAGCTTCCTTCCTAGGTTCAAAACACTAATGTGATTGTCAATAACTAACCCAAGTTTTAATAATGTCTGAAACTAAAAGCACTTTTGTTGAAAACTAGGTATGATTCTGCTAATTTCTAGGTATGACTAGAAATTCAGCTTGAGGAGGAGGGGTTGAGGCATGGCTTGTGTTGATGCAGAGGCCACGCGACGCGCTCTCTGGGGCACGGTGCAGGTGCAGGATGTGCAATGAAGGTAGGAATATCTTCTCCAGGCATCACCACAGAAACTTCTCTGGCATAACTTGTCATCTGCACAAATTCAATACAAAACTGTCTTACAACTCAATTTCCTTAACAGACAGCGCAAAAGCACAAATAACATGCAATTACAAATAAATTCAAATCAAGGAAAGCCACTTTTCTGGCGTGGTTGGTGGCTTTTAAAGATTCAAATGCAGCAAAGCAAGCCCTTTTACTTAATCATTCTTGCAATCCAAGAATAGAACATGAATATGAATATGATAATCACTCCTTCACTAGTGGGTTAACAAAAAGTAAACAAATAACAATAAGAAATTTCCTTCACGTGAATTGTACACCTTCTAAAAATACTAAAGCTGTCTGCAGAATACTTAACCCTCTCCTCAAATCAAGGCTTCTCACAAACCAAATTCAACTATGAAACATCAAAATATATTCACAATTCATCGATCACTCAATGTCGTACGGACACGTGGCACCCGAACATAATTTGTTTTATTATGCATAAGAAACAAATGAGTTGGTGGTATGCCTGTTTTTGGAGATCATACAAGGCATAAACATTTGGAACATCAATCACATGGTGAACATAGGTCCTTGCACCATGTGGCTAAGTTTTGCCATTCCCATGCTTAAAATCAGGGTTCATGGCAGTAGTTGGTCAAAGAACAAGTACTTGATCAGTATATAAATCTCATAATTTTATCAATAATTGAGTCAAAGACTCTACTTATTGCTTGATAGTCTACCTAAAAAAACAAATTAAGAACAGTCAACAAAGCATTACAAACATTAATAATGAGAAATGGTTTGAAATGATGAAAATATGATAAAATTTTCATGATTTAAAATCATGGGTTTTGGGATATTAATAATCAAATAAGATTGCAAGTAATGCAGATCCTATAAACTATGCAGCCCACTATAGAAATGGAAGCTCCAAATAACTCACTGTCATCTTGATGAGATTGTTACTTAAATTAAAACCACTAACCCCCAAATTAGCTAAAGAGAAGACAACAACAAATTCTACAAATAAAAACAGGGTTCTCTTATGTTCTTTCTTCTGTTAGTGACACTATTTTTTGTTTTTACTTTTGTTTTTGGTGGAGAATGACAAACCCATTTTCATTTTGAACAAAATCCAGTGAAACTGGAATCAGCTTAGCTATAATTGCACCCCCATAAAAGAAAGTAAAAAAAGTTCAGCAGTGAACAAGAGAAATTAAATGAAGCTTACTTTGGGAGAGTGGTGATCAAGCTTGGGATTCTGGTAGACAATCTGTTGCTGGAGATCGAAACGAGTGGTTCGAGAAGTTGAAGGCAGATGTGATGATCTGGGCCTGAAAAATCTCTCAAAAATAGCCATAACAAGAAACATTGATATGAGAATGGCAGTAGCAACAAAACCCAAGGAAACTGCATTGACTGACTTGTTAAAATTCCTCCACTGCTCTTCTTCTCTCTCTGTATTTTGTGCAGCCATCATCATGGCTGGTGCCATAGCTATGCCGCCGTCCCAATTATCTTCACCCCCCATTTAGAGCCAAACCTCAGCAGAAACCTCTCTCCTCTCTTCCTTTATGTCATTAACAACTAAGCTCAGAAAAAAAAGGTGAGGAAAAAGAGAGAAACCCAGTTGTGCATTTCTTCACTTCATAGTGAATTGTAGAGCAGAAAAGCAGAAAAAACAGAGGGAAAACAGAGAGATGGTTGGAGGTTGAAATGCCTACAGACGGAGGGAGTCTCTAGGCTTTATGGGTCGAATACAAGTCCTGCTTGGGCTAGTTTTTGTTTGGAATTATTATATTCGAACCTTTTATTGGGCCAAGCGTTTATGTCTAGCCACTCAAACAAGTGTGGAAACTGAAAAGCTTCCAAAGTTATTACATTTCCATGCTTTTGTTTTTGTGTGGAAGATTGAAACTTTAAATTCTATAATAAATTGGATATAATTTTATGTTTTAAATTTAAAAAGTTGTGATTTGTGAAGTAAAGGCAACCAACGTCCAAGATTGACTAAGATAGAAGTCTCCTATTGCTTGTAGGAAAAGAAATCGTGAAACCACCTCGGGTTATGGTTCTTACAAAGTTGAAATTAGCTATTCGTCTCTTCATTGAACTGCAATTCTCTAGATGTAGACGCTGCTAGAATCTGCGGATGTGAGAAGCCTGAACTGAGTTTTGCTCTTCCAATGTTGATGAATTTTTCAACTGCACAGGTCTTTTATTGAAAAGCTTAATCATTGATGGACAGTAAAACTGATCTGGCCAGGCCAGTCCTCATTTATCTTACTTAAAAAAACAAGACTGATGGATGCTTAAAGTTTTAGATTTCTATCAGAAACAAGTCTTTCAATCCCTTGGATGTAAATGGGGTTGCCACAGCCAATGCCATTTTATCTTAAATTCTTTCTCTTGTTCTCCGTTTAGAGCATTCACCACGCATGAGGGAATGGCAAGGACATGATATATAAGCAGGAGAAACAATGTAACAAAGCCTTATTCTGTAACTGTCCGACATTTGATAGCGCGCAGCTGCAAGTCTTGGTTTTGACATGTGATCTCTCTAATTCGGAAGAAATTAACCCGCCATATGCAACTTATGTTGCTAATGAGCATATGCAGTGCTGTAAACCCTTTTAACTGTGCATAGATTGAGAATACTGAGGATCACCTTGTTGCTGGTGCACCTAGGGGTCTTAAATTGGCTCAAAGCAGAACCATTTACTATGAAATGTTCCAAAATTTTCTTGAAAGTTCCTTTCTCCACAATGCGCAGCTCCAGAGGCCCAATTGAATTGCTTCTCCTTGAGACCACATAGCCATGATCCACAAATGATGCATCCATCTCTCTACAACATTCACCAAGAACCCTCTCTTCAACTTCGCCTTTGATCTCCCAATATATGATGTAGTGGCCTGGTTGAGTTAGCAGATCAGCATGGCTTGTAAAGTCAACCAGTTCAGCTTTGGACTTGCTCAGCAATTGAGACCCTCTCTCTACCACTATCTGAAGGTCCTTTTCTGTGTTTTTGTCAATGTTTACTGTCAATATAAGCTTTCTTCTGCATATAAAGTTCAATTTTGGAGTCCCATTGTGGAAACCAGCCACTTCCACCACATCCCCTAACCTGTACCTATAAAGTCCTGAAAACATTATACAAACATTCATTATTTTAAAATTTAAAATTAAAACAAAAGCAAGATTTTGCTTTTATTTCCCTCATTTTGTGATGTTTTTACTTCAACAGTAGCTCAAATATTGATCAACACATCACACAGATCCTTATGCATACTCTTTTCGAGACCATGATATTATGGTCTTAATTTCATCCACGTATCCTGACTACCTAATTTTTCCAAAATGTAACTAGTGGGCCATGAGTTTGAGAAAATGATCAGATTTTTCCAAGATTGCTGCTGGTCTGCAAATAATCAACAGTCCACGTGTCTGTATTGAATCGAGGCTTGGTTTGTTGTAGGAAAATATAGTGATGGGGCATAGACATGTACAATTCAAAGTTCTACAGATGAAAGTCGTTTATGTCAGGGCAACTGGTTGAGCTGGCCTAGTAAAGATGCTAAAATGCTTAAGAAAAACAGTCACTTTAACTTGGGTTTAATATGTAAAATTAGATTAACTTCAAACACCGAACTGTCTCACGATGTTCTAAACCCAACTCACGTATCACTTGAATCGGCAAAAAACGGAACCCTTGGGACTGTTACATGCTTCATGTAGAAATGTTTGCTAAAAAATTGATATCCATGAGAAAAAGAAAAAAGAGAAGAGAAAAGCAAGAGTGACAACTCACCAGTGAAAGTAGTGAGGACTATCTCATATTGCTGTCCAACCTTGACTTGGGATAGTGGGACTGGTTTATCTTCTATGAAGTCATCAATGGCTAAATTGCAATCTTGCTTATGTCTATGGAGTGGTATGAACTCAAAGTAAGAAAAAGTTGGTACCACAGCAAAAGTCACATCCTCTGGAGGCAAACAAGGATCCACATTCACCCCAATCCAACTCTCAGTTGATCCATATTCTGCACTAACTAATGGCACATCCCCTGCAAAGCGTCTGAGTTTTTTCAAATATGGTTGCATTGATCCTGTCATTATAGAATACACATACTTGGCATTTGGCCAGAGCTTAGGAATTAGACCAAACCAATCCAAATCTTCCAAGCCCTTGCAACTAGCTTCGATTTTTGAAGCCAATGTCGGGTTTGGGGAGATGATATCCAAGACCGCTTTTCGCACTTTCGGTAGATTGATTCTTTTGCTTAGAGTGCCATCTCTGATGTCATTGCACAACTCTTTCCAGAGTTCTTCAAAAGTGATGAAGGCCTGCACAATGCTATAGGCAAAGGTGGAGGTTATGAACTCTACTTGATCAGAGAAGAAGAGGCCAAGAAGGAGATGGCAGTATGTTGATTGTTTGCTGTCACCACTTGCAATGACTTCTTCTGGGCTGCAAGTGAATGACTTGGTTTTTTCCTGTTTGATCTTGAATTCTTGGCTGGCATAGTAGTGAGTTGTGGCTGTTCCTGCTGTTAATCCTCCCTTAGTTTTGAACTGTCTGCTGCTGTATATGAATTCCAGGATCCTCCCTCCTTCCCTTGTTGGATAAACTCTACAATCAAGAGGAAGAAAGCTCAGTAAAATTAAAGAGCCACTTAAAGAAATTTCTAAGTATTCATGATAAAAGATTGGAATATTGCCGTAAGATATAGGTTCATATATATTAAATGAAAGATTCAGAAGTTCAGATAGTTATTCATAAAATAGAACAATGAAAAATTTGTAGAGTAGCCAACCTTGATCTGTAAGCTGCAGCCAACCTAAATATTTGAAGAGTGGTCTGTGCGCTATGGCGGGTAAAGGGTACGTACTTCTGTCTCCCATCTGTGGTTCCAGAACTAGAAGAACATTAAACCCAACAAAAAAGTGAGAAAGATAAGCCAAATTGAAAAAAACAGAGGTAATGGTGGATTTTTTCTTTGAACTCAATACAACAGCAAAAATGTTCCGAGCAGCCATAAGATAGCACAAACAAGGTATATTTTACTCAGTTTGGTCGAAAACTAGGAATAATGTAAAGCACATAACCTAATGAAGGAACCTACCTTAAGGAGAGAGTGGTCATAGGTTGTTGGGTGAGTATAGGGCCAGCGTCCCCATTTGCAATTCTGTGAATATAAGGCTCTAAATCTGCATGTGAAGCAAGGGGCACCAAAGAAGTGTAGAGAGATTCCAATACAAATCCATCTACCTCTTGGATTTTGATGTCCCCCAACCATTGCCTGAGATATTCCACACTGCAGTTTTGCTCAAGTATCTTCCTGAGTGTCTGTGTTTGAACCAAACCAGCTTTCTCAGTCACATCTTCAAACCACCCAATGATGTCTTCTCCATAGTTGCCATTGCTCTGGTTATTCGTACACGCAGCTGGTTCCATTGGAGAGATTCTGAGAGGCTGCAGAAAATAATAAAGTTGGTACAATTGTTAGTGGGGTTCCTGACTGCTCTTGTTTCTCCCTAGCATATATATGATTTATATAGAAAACAGCAAAAAATTCAAATCTCTCTCTTGGATTATGGCAATCTATCTTGAGCTAGCCTTTGTCGTTTATTAAAAAGCTCAACCAACCTTCTAATGTTGCACAACCTCACTCTTCTTAGAATGGTACGATGCCTTGTAGACCACAAGACATACGTAGTGTCATCCTTTTTTGAAGGAGAGAGAGAGAGAGAGAGAGAGAGAGAGAGAGAGTCTTCTTTGAAATGATATGGGGACAAGGATTGCCAAGGGACCAAAACCAATCAGCTTTAACAGCTTGGCCTAGCAGCACCATGCTCTATTTTTCCCTCCAATTACTAAGCCACCCTTTGAAAATTGAGAGGATTTTATGATATATAGTAGTGCCTCATTCATACATAAATACTCTCGTCTCTCATTTTTTGTGGAAGACCCCTCTGCCCACCTTCCTATTTCTACTGCTAAGGCAAGGTACAGAAATTTAGGTGGACAATGATCTCATTCTAGTTTTTAGGAACCCAAGTTTTAGGCACATGTGGCAATAAGAGGAACACCACTTCATCAAGTCAAAGACAGAAAATGGTAAACACACCAAACCTACTATGACAATTTCGGTAAACACACCAAACCTACCATGACAATTTTGGTATGGGATAATTACTTCCTAACAAAGTTAGACTGAAGACTTGATCCATAGATTTATACAAAAAAAAGAAATACAAGGTAATGAACTAGAACAAACTAAACTTTCATAATCTCCAGCTCATATAAGTAACAAAAGCAGATTTTCTGTACTTTGCTTATCTAGTTTTCACTTTTTTTGAAGAATCATCTTTCCCATTTTCTTGCTAGTAGCCAGAAAGTATTTGGAGCCATGAAAGAAAAGATTGGCGTTTAGTGGAGGGAGTTTTGCCTGATGCAGACACATCATATCATTTTCCAAGAGAAAAGGCGCTTTGGGATGGAGATGCACAAAGAGGAAATCTACTTGCCATTTTGAGCTTGTTATTTATGCTCACTTAAAGAAAGGGTTGAAGCTTGACGAGAAGATACCAAGCTTCCTTCAAGAAGCCATATTTGGCCTCTTATTTCCAGAAATTTTCATGCTCCTAAATTTTCTTATTCTTCATGATTTCTGGCAGATTATGCATATATATTGCGCATGTATGGCGTGCTTGCTCAATTGAGTGGCGACTGACCTTAGCATTTCTTATAAATACATAATCATGATTTCCCTATTTATTACAGCTCACAAAAGTCTATATTCATAACTATTAAGTCAAGATGTAACTCTTGCAAGCAAATTTATAGTTATAGTGGTTTAGAGTATTTATTCTTATACTTCCTCATGAATCATGATCAAATTAGTTCAAGTCTCTTTCTTAGCTTCTTTTCTATATAAGAAAAATTAATTACTTGTAATTTTTTTTGTTATCAAAGAACAAGGTATTTTATCAAGATAGTTGTTAGATTCTGTTTTCCAACTCTTGTGGATCTCTACGGACCAGTCAGCCTTAGATAAAAACTATCCCCTCATTGCGTGCAAATTGGCAAAGACTGATCAAATCAAACCCAGATTTTGGGTAGGGAGAAGAATGCTTTACCACCCAAAACCCACTGGTTTTATTTTATTTTTTTCTTTTCTTCATAAACTCACTGGTTAATTTCACACCATTGGTGCACTGCATATTCTGCAGAAGAGACCCACACCACGTCCTATAATTTTGTAGGCACTTAATGTAATATCCTTTCCTAGCTGGATAATTAACAAGTGGTTGTGCATAGACAAGCTTTACTTGTCTCTGGGGCCCCTGCCTTCCAAATGCGTCCAGTGCCAGGACCATTTGTAGCTTCACTCTCTCCATTTCACCATCAGTGATGTAGCTACTCACAACTGTTTAAATCTCATCTAATCTAAGTCCATGTCCAAAGATATAATGATTACAATTACTTGAGAGTTTTTCCCAGCCAAAATCAACATTTCGTTATTGATGAAATTAATCGAACATGTGTGTGTTAAGTTTAGGAGCCACTCATTTACAAGCCAAAATCTTTTTCCAGATCTTGTGGGGTTTCTAATTTTCCCACCTGTTTCACATAAGATTTTAGGGGTCAAAAACCAGCTTTTTCCATAAATCCAAATGATTTTAAAAGGCACTAATCAACTTTGATTAGTTGATAAATTCTATTGATGTAAAGTTTCTTCATGATTTAACAGATGATGTTTTGCTTTGTTGCACCTTGCAGAAACAAATACATGACTCCGAAACAAATATATATTTTTTGGTCTCAAGATTGTTAGATTTAGACTGATATAATCTCCCCAGAGGAAACCGAAAGCTAGATATTTTCCAATGTCACAAGAAGAGAAGTTCTTCAATTACCACTAGTTTTTGCGATACCATAACCTGCCGACCAAACGGGGCCTAAAAAACGAACAAATCTTATCTTGATAATATAAGGTCATTACGTATGAGAATCAACAATTAGAAACACAACGTTAATAATGTGACAAGGGTAGTGTAACGAAGAAGGCGACAGTTGGATCGTTGATATTTTTTTTTTCCTTTTTATATTTCTTTTAAATTTGAATTTGCAACAAGTCGTCGGTACCTTAATTCTTGTCTGTTAGCGTCCAGATAAGTCACTACCATAGAGTTGATACTTCATTTTGTTCCAAGGGAAAAAGGGGTGCTAGTGTTGTTGTGTTGTGTGAGCAAAGATTTCCAGTTGTACTTGCTAACTTTTTATTACCCAAGTGGCAAATAAAAGCTGTTGGCTATTGCAGTGAAAGTGGAGAAAATGGAAAAATAGAAGAAAGAAGAAGAAGAAGAAGAAGAAACAAAATCTTCTCAAATAAGAAAAACCTGAACAAAATCTTCCCAATAGACATGATAAGCTTTTTTTGGCAAACCGATGAAGTCACACTTATCACAGATGATGACATTAATGTGGAAATCCCTCTCAAGACAACCAGAAAACCCTGGACCAAAATTGATCTCACCCTGGACCAAAATTGATCTCAGAAAGCACTAGAGGATATTTAAAACTCTGGACCAGATTTCCAGAAATATCACTTCAACTCTACACAAGAAATCTAACACTAGCCAACTCATAACCAAAAAACAAATTAACAATTATTTGAGTCCCCTGCATTCTAAAACTCCGAAGTTCTAATGCTGCAAGTTCAGCAAGCAGTTTATACTTAACATTGGGTGCAAGACAGCAGCAGAAAAACCAAATTTGACTGAGGACTTAAGCCAAATGACCAGAATTCTCAAAAAATCAAGTCACTGAGGGACCTTATTCAAACAGTAATAATAATGGACAATCACATAAGATAGAGGCTTAGAAAGACAAGCATCTTTGCAAATGATGAAAACAGCAGTTGATATGAGTAGGGTGTGCATGATTTTGTCCTATCCCAACACTGAAGCATCTCCACCCTTATTTCATCTAACTGTGTCGGGGACCCATCCTCATACCAGCTTCATCAAAGCATCAACCTAGATTCTCTAAATGAAATAACTACAAAATTCCATACTGTAGCTTTGATTTTGACAGCCATTCAAAGGGGAACACAGATTGATTATTTCTTTGGGGATGGGCCTTATCCTGCATGAGCAATAAATCTCACAACTTCATCACATATGCAACTTGCAGTACAAACTAATGATAGTTTTGCAGTAATGTCAATAAATAGGTCTGGCAGTACACGCGATTAATGATATCTAGGTGGGTGGAATGCCTACCACAACAAGAAACTAATTTGGCAAATCATTACAGATGAATGTGCTTAGTCATACACGCTCGTAGAATATGTAAAAATTAGGAACCAGATAGAGTCAACATATTGAATATTGCTCAGTTGAGTTGCTGATTCTAAAGTTTTTTACTTTCCCTGTTTAGTCAAAACTTTTCTCTGCAATTTTATTATTCTGGAAAATGAATCTATTGTCTCTTTCTGTCTATTTAATAAATAATAAAACATGCTTATTTTGGACATTGAATAGAATGTTTTCTTTAGATTTCCGACTAATATATCTCCACCTAGTTATATATTTTTGAAAATGTCAGTTCATGTATGATTTGTTGCTCTTGATATAGAGGAGGAAAGCCACACCTGGGTACTGATACAGAGATCACATATACATTCAACATGCCATGTGGCCAAAGCGAAATGATTAGGTTCTTCTGCCATCCAGCTGGGCCAATAGACACTTTGACAACTTTTTTAAGGTCCAAAACGTTTATGTGAAAGTTTCTTCAATAAATTGAATGATGTAATATACAGGGATTGAATTGTGAACATCAACTCTGCGATACAAGAGGCCATCTTTGAATTAGCTAAACAGAATTTCTAAGAACTACAGCATTGCTAAGACTCAACTGTCAAAGAGAATTCGGAACTTCACTCGCCTTTTGATGCTACCCATTCTGTCATACCCAATGCCGATCTTACTATGCATCAACTTCATAGCTAAATCTGCATTGCCTGCTTTCCTCAAAGCATTGATTAGAACCGTTCGAATTCGTCCCGGTATTTCCCTACCTCTGTCCACAATCCCATCAGCCAACTTGCAAGCTTCCTTGAAACGGCCAGCTTTGCACAAAACATTGATCATATCTTCAAAAGCTGTCTCAGGAATTACACCCATTGGTGCTAGCTCATCCAAAATCTTGCAAGCTCTGGCTACCTTTCCTGAGAGACAAAGCCCAATTGAGAGAGCCCTGAAGGAAGCAGCAGTTGGTGTGATGCCCTGATCGATCATCATATTCCACAGCTTCAATGCCTCTTCATTTTTGTGCTCCTTAAACAGTCCGCTGATGAGTATTGTGTACGTATAAACTGTCTGATCACAACCTTCCTCTTCCATTTTCTTAAAGAGTGCTAATGCTTCATCAGTTTTTCCACCTTTAGCTAGGGCATCAATAAGGGCATTATAGCAATATGAATCCTGAGGACATCCCTTCTCAATCATCTTTTCGAAAAGCCTTTCAGCTTCATCAAGCCTACCAGCTTTTCCAAGGCCCTCGATCAGACTAGAATACAGCATGGCATTAACTGCCATCCCACTGCCTTCACAAAACTGAAAATACTCCATGGCCTCCTCCACTCTCCCACTCTTACATAATCCATTGACAACAACGCCGTAAGTTAC